AGTGGAATTCCCTCGTTTCAATCTTCCAAAGTTTTTTTTTTTGATCCGAATTTCCAATTGGGGCGGAAATAAATTTGCCCTTGGTTTAAAATGGGGTGTTTTTTTGTATACGGTGGTGGGGCGTGGCGTTAATATTTTGGTGTGGAAAGCTAGAATTTGTATTAATTGCGGNTGGGGGCGGAAAACTTATTGATTTTTGAAAAAGTTGGGTATTTGTAAAATTGTTGAGAAGAGAATTGAAGAGTTTAGAAAGATCTTTAATGTTTGAGAATGGAGCCTGAAACTATCTTCTTTTGGTGATTATAGTCGCCTATGTTTGGAGTTTGAAAGTTTAAATCGTTATTATTAACAGTATTATTATTTGTTTTTATAGATAAATTTCGTTTATTCCCATTATAATATAAGTTATTCTTGTTACTATTGGGCGTAGATAAATGTTCAGACATAGTTTTTAAGAATTTAGTTTTTAAAATCACTCAGTAACCAATATCACACAAACATTTACCAATGAATATAATAGTAATTTCTATCCCCATAAACACACTCGCATATATATATATATAAATATATATATATTATATATACTGTATTGTATTGTGTTACAATTTATTATGTAATAATATGTTATATTGTACTATATTGTGTAGTATTGTATTAAGAATAGACAATAAACCCAAAATAGTATTACTATATAAAGTAAAGTGATATAGTTTAGTAAAACCTGGAAATTAGTTGAACTAATGTTTAATAATCAGAAAGGTGTAAGTTGTAAAAAAATAGATATTTTGACGTGAGATGTAATGACGATAATTTTTCGAATCGATTAACCAGAAAGTACGAAATAAGAACAATAGCAAGCGAAGGAATAGAACAATAACAACGATAACCCAAAAAAACAAACAAAAAAAAATTAAAACGAAACAAAATGACAATAACAACACAAAATAATGGGATGGGATGGAATGGAATGTAATGGGATTGGAAGGTTTAGTTTAGTGTTGGCCTTTGCATAGTCCATTTCGACTTAGTTCCAATTCAAGCGAGAGATAGAGAGAGAGCTGTCCGATAGCCAAGCTAACTTTCTTGTTATAATTTCGAATTCGAATTCGAATTGACGTCTGTCTTTCTATCTCTGGCTGTATGCCAAAAATGAATGGAAGATAGAAAAACTGGAAATAGGAAAAGGCAAAAAGCAGAAAAAGAAACAAAAAAAGGAAAACAAACAATTACGATTCTTCTGAGACAAGTCCGCACAAGAGAGAGAAGATAAAAAAAAACATAAGACAACAACCAGCATAACGATCATTTGCCGATGACGAAATGACGAAATGACGAAAAACCTTAAACGTCTGTCTGTGTCTGTCCGCAGCATTGAGATGAAAATAGTGAAACAGAAGACAGTGAAATGCGCGTAAACACGTCATAGATTAGGCTTACTGGCTTATGATAACAATAGTATATGTTCGATCAGACAGAGAGGGAGAGAGATTGGGTTGACGTGCTGGTTGATGCGTTGGTGTGCTCTGGTCTGGCCGCTTATCCGGCGGGCATGGTGAGGAGAAATGGAATGAGATGTTTTCTTATTTTTGTCGGAAGGGCGGTGCGTTGCAGTGCATTGCAGTGCAGTGCATTGCCAAGAACAGTACTAGTAGAGATGAGAGACTGGGACCAGATTTACCCGTGGTAAATGATGTGCATTTAGCTAAATTTTCTTTTCTTTCTTGTGACGTATTGCTGTTTTCTTGTTTTCTTGTTTATGTTTCCAATTTCTTATTAGTTTGTTTCGATTGTGCCCTTTCAGAATGTATGTTGTGAGGGAAAAGGCAACGTTTCGTTGCCGTAGATTCGGGCTATTCATTCGTCTTTAATGACGATTACGGTTTTTGGTGAAGAGAGGGTAAGTGATCGGTGATATTGTATTCTTGAAATTCTTGAAATTCTTGAAATTTTTGAGGAAAAAAACTAACATGTGACCAAACTTTCGAACGCTCATTAGAATTTTTTTGATTTTTAATTTTTTTGCATTCCGTTATTCCCTGCCCGTTTTCTCTCTCTAAACCACCAGTACCAATTTTTCAATTCCATTCAATCCATCAATCAATTAATTGCAAGAAAGGAAAATTGAAGGTGAAAAAATCTTTTGATACTATTTCAAATCCTACGTTCACTCACATGTATTATATACATATATATATATGGAACCTTTCCCACTGTAATACACTTCATAACACTTCACAATAAGCAAAGCTATACCCAATTTTCTCTAGCCAATATGTCTCTACGTTTTATTGCTTCAAAATCTTTGAACAACTTCAACAGAACTCTTCTAGTAAGAAAAAATAATCTAAACCTAATTAACTTTAGAAGAAACTTCATCTCTTCAATCGTTTTGAAAAACCAAATCTCTACTAAAGTTAATGACATTTTAAAGTCTGAACACAATTTGGAAATTGAAAATATCAAATCACAAGATTTTTCAAATGAAACTTTCAACAATTTTCTACAAAAATATGATTTCAGTTTGATCGATAACTCAAACGGTAAAAACATGTCAGAAATTAAAAAGACAACGAACGATGAAACTATCCACGTATTCTTCGACGTTGCCCAAGTTGCAAACTTACCATTCGATCCAATGGCAAACAATGCTAATAACGATCAGGCCCAATCAAATGAAATGATCACTGAAGAAGACTTCGATTCTTTATCCGATAACTTTGCAAATGTTAACGTAGTCATTACAAACAATTCCAATAAAAAAACCGTATCATTCGAATTGCTAATGAATTTGGCTGAAGGTTCTTTCTATATCGATAGTGTAACACCTTATGAAAATGAACAAAAAGCCTTGGATGAATCAGCAGAAGCTGAAGTCTCTCGTGAGTTAGTTTACCATGGCCCTCCTTTCTCCAACTTGGACGAAGAATTACAAGAATCTTTGGAATTATATTTGGAAAGTAGAGGTATCACTTCTGAATTATCATCTTTTATCACTTCTTATTCCGAGTTTAAAGAGAATCACGAATATGTTAACTGGTTAGATAATTTAAAACAATTCTTTGGCAACTAATCCCTGGTTCTGTGCCCTTAGTACCAATAAATGAAGTTTTTCCTTATGATAAATATTTCGAAATTATTGTCGCTTACTCACTACCTTGTAAATACACCCGTCAATAAAATTGCATGTTAAAGAATTTTTTTTATTCCTATAATTACTTATATATACACATAGCATACATACATACCTATATTTATGCTATAAGACCATGCTATTAACATTCTATAAAATAAAATAAAATAAAATAAAATAGAAACATATTGGAGTTGTTTCTTCTTTGCTTTTGGTCATTTAATATTACTTACATGTACTTTAAAGTTACAACTAGTTACAAGTTAATTTAACTTCAGGTTGGTATTCATTATTTAAAACCAATTTCATGTTTTGTTTAATGTTTTTCTCTACCTCTTCATCAATAATTTCAATCTTCTTCTTCTCTACTTTGTCTAATTTTTCTACTAATCTTCTTTTTAATCTCAATAATAACCGCCTATACAAAAACTTTTGTCTTTCTAAATTATCTAAACTAGACTCATCAATTACTGGCGTTTTGATCACATATTCATCTAACAATACTTTCAGTAATCTAATAGCTTCTAATAGCATATACCTTTCATCTTTAACTTGGTCTGGCTTCTTCTTTAGAACATCAAAATTCCCATTGATATACGCTTTCATATATTCATTGAAAAGTTTGTTGGTGTCAGAGATAGTCATTTTACCTTGACTATTCAAATTTTTGGAAATTCTAAATAAAAATTTCCATGCTTCACTAGGAATTGTAATAATCTCATCTATTTCAGATTTAACTCCCTCATTTTCCTTCATATAGTTAATACACTTTTGTAATAAATCGGATATTTTCTCTTCATTATATACTGTCATACCTTTTATGGATTGTTTTTCAAATGCTTTATATATAATCAGCATACTTCTTTTCGAAAATTTTACAGCTGTATTCTCTTCAATCTGTTTATTCAATTCCAATGACTTTTCAACACAATGATTAGGGTCATTCTCTATAGTAAAATATAATGATTTATGATACATGTCAATGTCAATCAAATATGGCTTTTCTTTTAGTAAATCCTGAAACAATTTTAAACCATATTCCCAATTTTTTGTAGCTACAGAATTGGCTAAAATCAACCCTATGATATGTTTATTCGAATGGAATTTTCTTGTAATACTCCAATGGGAAAGCTCGGGTAGTTTTATCAACTGATTCTTTTCTTTCAAAAACTTTTCTGGGATATTGACATCAAAATACTTATCAATTGCTGATAGCGTACTTCCTAGTATTTGACTATTAGAGGTTCTTTGGTTGAGTAAATTACATAACTCAAACAGAAATTTAGAATCAATATGTCTAGGAGGTATTGATATTAAGAAACCGTTCAAAAATTCAACAAATAATCCATCGTTTTCAACTTTTGACAGTCCATGTAAAATCCATGTATATGTGATCGAATCTCTTTTTATACCTTTGATATCTTTTTCAAATAGATCAAACATTGCTGTCACTTCGGTACCATTAGCTAGCGCACTTAATGCTGAATTAAATATAATTTGATTTAACTCATTCTTCTCTATCAATGCATTCACTATCTTCATTACAGTTTCACAATTTTTTTTAGATATTGGTTCTTTCTGTTGAGCCAATCCGCTAAAAAGAATTGTATGGGTATATTCATTTAATGGTATATTCCATTTCTTGGCCCAATTGAACAGGTCAATCGCTGACTTAGGTTGATTTTCATTCAAGTAATATTTTATTATATTATTCAAAGCACCAGATCCTCTACTTTTTGATAACTTACATAAATATATTGCCTTATCCACTTGATGCCTATTTAAAAATTTTTCAACAGTTTTAGCAATTAACACAGAATCACGAAGTTGTTCCCCAGTAACCCCCAATATAGTATATATCATACGTTTATCAGTTGTTTTTGTAAGAAATTTCACATCCATTGTACTATTAGGCCCAATATCAGAAGGCTTCAAATCATTGTTAGATGCATGATAGTTTTTCTGTAGTAAATGTAAAGCATGTTGTTTAGAGTATGCTGATTTTTGTACATTCTTAAATTTCAACTTCTTTTTATCATTTAGCCTACTAACTTGGCTTTTGGTCTTATTAATAACAATACCTTTACTCTTCAATATATTTAATTTTTCCTTAACCTGTGAGGCATTGGACCTATTTGAAACATGAAATTGTCTTACAAACAGTCGATAGCATAAAGACATAACTTAAACAAATAAATCAAACACTCAGATACATCTACAATATCCTTCTATGACCAATTCAATTATATATAGTTGTAATAACCTAACTTAACTAATCTAATATACTCAGAAAGCTACCTGATCTAGTTATATCGAAGTCATCGATATTATCCATTTCCAAAAGTTTTTCACTTCCACTGTTCGAATCGCAGCCTCAAAGCATCGCTTAAGAATTTAAGGTTATAGAATTAAAATATCGAAATATTCTAATCTGTAATTTAAGTTGTGATCATCTTCAAATGTCAAGGTTATTAAAGAATTTATTTAGCTAAAAGGTTTTGGAAGTTGTGGAATCAATGGATACATTGATTTAATTAGTATTGGTAGAGTATATCTGGGGTAGGACTGACTAAAGAAAGCTAAGAAAAGATGATTGAAAAATGTGAAGGTCCAGTTCTGTTGGAAAGAATTAATCATTTACTGACGATTAAATATGGATCTGACCAGGATAGGATGAAATTAGCATCAGACGCTATGTTGTATTTACAGAATATTGATTATTTTAATTCACCGTATTTAAGTGTTTTCAACTCATATCTAGGCGTAGATAATACATCTAATGATGAAAATATTAAATCCGAATTGCCCATTAAAAATAAGTTATTGGCAAAGGTCATTGCTCATGAATATACCGAGGCTATTACATTATTGGAGACTCAAAATTTAGATCATAGAATTAATTATAGACGTATAGAGCAGATTTGTAATATATACATATTGAACAAAGATTTTAAGGGTCTAGAAGATTTGGAACAAAGGTTAATTTCCCCACAAGATTCTGTTACACATCTCACTGAACAAAACGATGAATTGGAGGCTCACCGTAGATCAAATCTATTGATATTATCTTCATTATACTTCAAAGGCAGGTTTTTTGATTTCAGCAATAGGTTTTTCCAACTATTATCTGAAGATAATGATATAATATCATCACTGTCGTACTCGATTCCTGGCCAATTGCTTTTTAATAAGGAATTGCTTTATATGATTTTAATTTCTACTGTACTTTCGTTACCATTTGATGAATATGAAAGCTTACTCTATTCAAAAGAATTGATATCATTTTATAAAATCAATCCTCTCTTTCCAAAATGCTTAGAACTTTTAAGCAAAGCACAGTTCGAAGAATTCTTAAATATATGGAATACTGAGATAAATGAGATATGTGAAACAAGTCCATTTCTATATCAAAGTTGGATAACTTGCCAGCATCTTATGAGATGTAAAATATATTTCATGCATTTGAAGTTAACAAATAAGATATCTGTTGATTATTTCACGGAATTATTTAAAATGTCTCAATTAAAAATTAAGGAAGAATTAATCGAATTTCTTGATTTCTCTCATGTTAATTATTCAATAGACCATGAAAAAAATATATTATATTACAATCGTCAAAACTCATTATACAAATCATTTGAAATTTTGAATAAGAATTATGACACAATTAATGATATTATTTCATTGAAGAAACAAGAAAATGAGAACATGAGGAATTTAGCCCAAGAAATAATAATTAATAATAGTAGAAGTGGAACTTTAACTAACACAAATTTAACAACTATTACTACAACTACATCAACCATTCGAGGTCAAACTACTGACGATTCAGAAAATGAAATTATCTGAAACCGTTGGAAGATGTAATACAAAACAGTAGTGCAAAAAAAAGTTATACCAACATTTTAAAATTAAACCATTAGATCAATTGAACACTAAATCGTTTCTAATATTCAATTGATTACTTCAAACCCTTCTCATCAGGTTGATGATAGCATTGGTCTCTAAAGCTAACACCTTTTTTTTTCACAATGTCTGCACCAATAAATTTAGACTGTTGAGCAAACGACGCTATCTTGTAGGACTTTTCACATTGGAACCATTTTTTGAAAAAAAAAATTAAAATTAAGATAATGTGAACAATTTAAACAGAGTTAAGGTAGTTTAAAAATTGAGGAAGAAGATTAAGTTTTAGTTTATTTCAGAATAGTAGTTTTATATTTTGGAATTAATATTTTATTTTATTAGTGGCTTAGAAATTGTAGCTATATATTGTCAAATTTGTGGTGGATTATGTTGATGAGCAAGGCCCCTAAATTAGGGAATTTATTGAGTAAGAACTCAATTAAAATTGTGTCAGGATCAAAATTAAGATGCAATTTAAAATATATTAATGTTAGATATATTAGTGATACTCCAGATAAAGTTTTCACTAAATTATCTGATGAAAACGATCCACAAAGAGATGCCTTTTTCAAATATTCCTGGGGTTCTTGGATGAAGAATGATGCTATTGAAAAGGAGAAAAGAGTCACTAAGTTTTCAATTGAAGGTCTAAATGATGTTCTTAATGATATTTATGAGCAGACTAAGGTTGAAGCTAAGGTTACTAAAGAAGGCGCTATTAAGCCACCTTCCTTTAATAAAAATTTAACAGTTTCTTTACCACATAATTTAACAGTTAAAAATATTGGAGTTATTAATCCTAATGAAAAGGTTCAAATTACTTCAATGGCCAGTATCCACGAAGGTAAACATCATCGTATTTACAAGATTGATACCAATTTAGGAAAGTCCTTCGTATTGAGAGTTCCATATGCTTTGGAAAATGAAGATACAATTGCTCAAAGATTAAAAAGTGAGGTTGCCTCAATGGATTTTGCTGATTTGAAATTAGGTATTAAAGTGCCAAAGACTTATTGTTTTGGTATCAATGGTTTGAATCCTATTAGACAGCCTTTCATTTTGCAAGAATATATCGATGGTAAATTATTGATGAGAGATTGGAGTCCATTGGAAAATGATACTTCCGACGGTAAACCACCAGTTGCTTTACAAGATGTTATTAACAAATTATCAGAATTCCAATCTAAATTAATTTCTATGAAATTTAATGGTTTTGGTTCTATTTATTTTGCAAAAGACGCAGAAGAATTGGAAAATGTTCCAGAATTATATGATAATGAAACAAACGAGGAATTGAAAGGTAGATGGAAATTAGGTTACAGTGTCGAACGTTGTTTGTGGAAGAAAAAGTCATTTTTACCAACTGATAAGTTGAAAACCTTTTTAGGGCCATGGTCTATTAACAAGCCAACTGATATCATTCGTGCAACTGGTTTATTAGAAGCTGAAAATGCCAAGGTTAGATTAGGTCTAAAGGAAGCTGACTCTTCAAGCGAAGCTGTTGAATCAGGTGTCCTCAAGTCACAAGTTGCAACTTTCGAAAATTTAGTTAAGCTTGCTCCAAGTTTGATAAATTCCGAAACTAAGAGTATTCCAAATATTTCTGATTTGTTGTTACCAAGATTAAAGCATCCAGATTTGGATCCAATGAATGTTTTAGTCACTGAAAACAATGAAGTCTATCTATTAGATTTTGAAGGCTCATCTATTAAACCTCTAATCTTACAAAATGCTCCCCAATTTGTTGCCTACGATGGACCAAAGGTTTACAACATTGAAAAAGAAGTTCCTGATTATGAGAAATTAAGTGATTCTGAGAAAGCACAATACGAATTTATGTACAAGCGTACTCGTAATCAATTTTTATGGGAAATGGCATTTAATAAGACAAACCCTGAATTCATTTCAATTGTGGCTCCACCAGTTAAATTATTAAGAAGCCCATATATTGCTGCAATCGAAAGAAAGACTGATGAAGAATATATCCTGGTTGATGAGGCGATGATTCAATTGAAAGAAATATGGGATATATTCACTAAGAATGGATTAGTTAAAAATAGTCCATATCCAATTGAATACACAACAGAACAACTTGAACAGCATGGTAAAGATTTATTGAAATTCCATGAAAAATTAATTTCTCAACCATTTGCAGCAACACAAGGATGGATTCCCCAAGATATGTTTGAGAATTTAGTTGCTGGCGGTGTGTTGGTAAAGAATAAGAGTGGTGATTATGAAGTTAGTTCAGAAGCACAATCAGAAGTTCAATCAGAAGTTCAATCAAGTACAGAAAATAAAGACTAAACAAAACAAAACAAATATCAATGTCGCCATACGTTTAATTGAACATGTTTCACCAAATTTTGTAAATATATATTTTTTCAGTGGTTTCAATATTAGTACGTCAAAGTATTTATATAATTTCTTAGAGGCCCTTTATTTGTTTTTTCTTAGTTATTATTATGTATTCCTTATATTTCTATATTAATTATTGTTATTGTTTCAACCATTGTAGCTCAAGAGAATTTGCAAACAATCTAGACTCCACCATATAGATATTTTGATAAATCTCAGTTCAGTTTGTCCTGGCGCCTTAAACTTGCATTGATATATATATATATATATCCACCATAGTCATAATAGACTACAGATGGTAGTAGATATGTATGTAATGCACTGATGCTAAACAGGTCTAGTCGTTTTTGCTTTAACAGAAAAATTAGAAATTAACAATATCGTAGGAGTTACCCTACCTTCCCATCGTTGGTGTCCCAAAGCGTAAAAAGACGCCTAAGAAAACGACAAGCAAACAAAAAATGTAAAAAACAAATGGGTGGAGATATACTCCCACCTACTTCTGCGAGTTGTTCTTCAACGATTGAGTGGTATAGTGTAAAATGGAAGACTGATTTCAATGATATATCAGTTGAGGACAGATGGATCAAGATATATATATATATAAAGGGAGATAGAAACTAGGATTACTGCTAAAGTCAGATATTGGGATGAGATCCCTTTCATTTGACTTTGACTATTCTCCATTGTTTTAAAATAAAGAAGTATTAAAAATATATATAGATTGTCCCCAGACAAGATTTGATAATCGTACATCAATACTAATATAGCTGTAGATTATTTCAAGATGATATAGTTCCTACAGGTAGAAGAGTTTGTGTCTAATTAATTTTGTGCTATATGCCATCATGCCTGACTTTTTATTCGTACTCAGATCACGAGGTTTATTTAATGTCGTTTTATCCAATTGATAAAGAAATAATATAGATAGGAATAATTATAATGATAAGATTGTGGATTAGCGCTGGTGATCTTAGATCTGTTTAGGATTCAACCCTAATTGAAATAAAACAGATGAGCAAAAATCATGTTTTATTACATGTTATTTTTACTTCTGATCAATGTTTAGTAAGAATGGGTCATCACATATTCATATTACCTGTTTGTGTGGGAAACTTAGTGGTTTATTTTTTCATTTTGTTATTCGTTTTCCCTCTTTCTTGTCTCACTGAGGATCATGCTATTTTCAATGATGCCGTTGGATCAGATGTTTTTTTTTTGCACTTGATAGCTGTTTGTAGCTTCTCTATCCCACAGTTGATTTTTTCAATATGCCCTTTTGATAGTTCTAATAGTATATAACTGTATATCTTAATGGCCTGTTACCTATGCACTGTGGACTAGAACACAATATACGATAATACGTTAGTTCACTTTTTGCTGAGGATTGATGAAGAACGCAGAAGACCAACAAGAGAGACAGAGGCAAAAGGAAAAAAAAGAAATGTGAAAAATTTTTTTTATTACTAGTAAGTAGTATTACCATTGTATGTGCAGGGCAGGTATCTCTACTTCTGTCTCCTATATTCTCTTGCTACGTTGCCAACTCAGCCAGTTCACCAAAGATTAATGTAGCGTCGTCATGAACTCTACTATTATTAGTATAGTTACGTTTCACCAATCTTCAATAGCTTACTATTAGCCTAAGGGAAAAGAAAGAGAAAGGGAAAGAGAAAAAGAACAAATATTATTATGAACTACTACACTCCCTCGCACACTGCACCCAGATGGATACCCAAGAGAACTGACAGAGCTTGCTCATTAACTAATTAATTGATGGCAGAGAAATCTAACTCTTTTCGATAGGTAATATAAATGTTTTTCGCACTACGGCGTCGTCTGATAAATTTTGAAAATTCTATTTTGGTTTCGAAACTTCACGTTAAATTAATTACTATTGTGTTTTTGAAGGAGACAGAGAGAGGGGGGGAAATGATAGGTAAGTAGGTAGGTTACTGCCTTCCAAAGAAGCAATAATATACTATGCACTATCTGAGATTTAGTTTCTATTAGGCTGGAAATGATGCTCCATTACCTTGACTCATACACAAGGGTAGAAAAGATAGAGTAAGAGAGTTAATTTATTGGTCATGAAGTAACTAAATTATTATTATGGCCTTCACACCAGAGTTAAACTGGTAGTTTGACTATTAATATTTATCAGGTTTATTGATCTATTGTTTGCTCCTTTTTCATTAACTAAATCATATAAATTAAACGTTATTGATAATATAACTTTTATCATTTCCCACCTACCTTTTATTTTGTCTGTTAAACACGCATCACTATAAAGGTATCTAATAAAATCCAATTAAATCTCTACTTTCTAACCAAGTGATAGACATTTATAGAACTTTTATTTTTATTATATTTTTATTTGGTGGAAAATAGATAGACTAACGTTGATATTATTATTACCATAAATCAAATCGATTCTTAACTAAAGAGCAACATAATTTTTTATCGAAACTATGTCAGCATTGGATATTAATAATTTACAAAACAGCTTTAACCAAGCTCTAAACGTCTCTGCTGGTGCAGTCTCGACTTCACCAACTCAATCATATATGAATTCGGTACCTGCAAGACTTCATTCTTATAGTGTTTCACAAAGACAAAAAGCTTTGAAACCATTCTTTACTGGTGATATTAAAATTTTATTGTTGGAAAATGTTAACCAAACTGCAGTTGAAATTTTCACCAATCAAGGTTACCAAGTCGAATTTTACAAATCTTCTTTACCTGAAGAAGAGTTAATTGAAAAGATAAAAGATGTTCATGCTATTGGTATAAGATCAAAGACTCAATTAGGGGAAAATATATTGAAACATGCTAAAAATTTAGTAGTAGTTGGTTGCTTCTGTATTGGTACTAATCAAGTAGATCTAAAATATGCTGCTAGTATGGGTGTTTCAGTTTTCAACTCACCTTTCTCAAACTCAAGATCAGTTGCAGAATTGGTCATTGCTGAAATTATTGTGTTGGCCAGACAAATTGGCGACAGATCCATCGAATTACATACTGGTACTTGGAACAAGGTTTCTTCAAGATGTTGGGAAGTAAGAGGTAAAACTTTAGGGATCATTGGTTATGGTCATATTGGTTCTCAATTATCAGTCCTAGCTGAATCAATGGGTATGCATGTTATTTACTATGATATTGTTACAATCATGTCCTTAGGTACCGCTAAACAAGTCTCGACTTTAGACGAGTTGTTAAATAAAGCTGATTTTGTCACTTTACATGTTCCAGAAACTGCTGATACTAAGAATCTATTATCGGCTCCACAATTTGCTGCTATGAAGGACGGTGCATATGTCATCAACGCTTCAAGAGGTACTGTCATCGATATCCCATCTTTGATCCTTGCCATGAAAGCTGGTAAGATAGGTGGTGCTGCCATTGATGTTTTCCCACACGAACCAGCCAAAAATGGTGCTGGTGCCTTCTCTGATGATTTAAATAAGTGGACCTCTGAATTAGTTTCATTACCAAATGTCATATTAACCCCACATATTGGTGGATCCACAGAAGAGGCCCAAAGTGCTATTGGTGTTGAAGTTGCTTCTGCTATGTCAAAATACATTAACGAAGGTGCTTCTGTGGGATCAGTAAATTTCCCAGAAGTTTCTCTAAGAGCTTTGAATTTAGATCAAGACAATACCGTACGTGTTTTGTATATCCACAAGAACGTCCCAGGTGTATTAAAGACTGTTAACAACATTTTATCAAACCATAACATTGAAAAACAATTTTCTGATTCTAGTGGAGAAATTGCTTACTTAATGGCTGACATTGCTGATGTCAATCAAAGCGATATTAAGAGTATATACGATGAACTAAACAAGACTCCAGAAAAAATCAGCATCAGATTACTATATTAGAAATATGATAGAAATAACTAATCGTTGATGTATGTAATTTTTTTTTTCTTCGTCATGTTATGGTTACCATTTAATATTTAATATAATATAATGTCTAGTAAATAATAATATAGTCCTTTTAATGTTTTATAATAGTACAACTGAGAAAAATATCATTCCCTCTGGTCTGATACAATAGTCCATTGCACATTGTCATTGTTCTTAGGATCCCATCCATATCTAATCCCAATATATATATATATATATATATTCTCATGATTATATATCATTATATACGTTTAGGATAAACATAGGGTATTTTGATATTTAATGCGTTTCTTAAGTAAATTGGGTGGCAAAATTAAATTTTAATATAGAAAGGCTACCTTTGAAGATATAAAAACAACAGTTAAGAAGAATTGAATCAACTTGATCATCCGACAAAGGTGCCACCAAAGGTTATAGGCAACTATACAATTATATTGATAATTATATCTACTTAATAATTGAATAAATTACTTCAATACAGATATATTCAATACTTTTCATTAGTAGTACAGGCTAAAATTGTTGGGAAGAATAGAATAAAAATAATAAGATACATTTCAAAAGTATGTCATTGACAAGTGCTGCTCCTTTGTTAGCATTGTTGAGGGAAGATGATAATGTTGTTAAATCATATGCTTTACAATCTATCAATGGTGTAGTTGACGAATTTTGGTCTGAAATTTCAAATGATATTACAGAGATCGAAACATTATATGATGATCGTTCTTTCGCAGATCGTAAAATGGCTGCATTGATTGCTTCAAAAGTGTACTATAACTTGGGTGAATATGAACCTGCTGTCAAATATGCTTTGGCAGCTGAAGAAAGCTTTAATATCGATGAAAAATCCCAATATGTGGAAACTATTGTTACTCAGAGTATAGAAATGTACATAATGTTAACTACCCAAAATTTCAATGCCACTACTGAAGCTGAAAAAGTTGAAATTGATCCTAGATTGGTCTCCATTTTTGAAAGAATGATGGAGAAATGTGTTAAAGCTTCTGAGTTTAAGTTAGCATTGGGTATTGCCTTAGAAAGTTACAGATTAGATGTGGTAGAAGTTATACTAAAAAATAGCATTGATAATGACAATGAATCAAACTCATTGAAATTAATAAACTATGTTTTAGTCGCCGCATCCACTATAGTTGCCAATTCGAACTTCAGATCTCAAATTTTGACTTTACTGTTTAAAATGTTAATGTCCATGAAAAATATTGAATATTTTACTGTATCAAAAGTTGTAGTAAACTTAAATGATGCTCAATTGGCTATTCAATTATTTGAAAAGTTACGTAAAGATGAAGACAAAAACATTTCTTATCAAATCGCCTTTGATTTGGTATCATCAGCATCTCAAGGTCTATTAGATACTCTATCCGCAGAATTGAAACAAAAACAATATGAAGAGAAGATCTTAGAAATATTGTCAGGTATTCCAACCTGTGACTACTATAATACTTTCCTATTAAACAATAAGAATATTGACATGGGTTTATTAAACAAATCAAAATCATCTTTAGATGGTAAATTCTCATTGTTTCATACTGCAGTCAGTGTTGCCAATGGTTTTATGCACTCTGGTACAACTGATAATTCATTTATTAAGGCTAATCTACCTTGGTTAGGTAAAGCTCAGAACTGGGCCAAATTCACTGCCACTGCTTCATTGGGTGTTATACATAGAGGTAACTTAGCCGATGGTAAGAAGGTTATGGCACCTTATTTACCTGGTAGCCGTGCTACTTCACGTTACATTAAAGGTGGTTCTTTGTATGGTTTAGGTTTGATATATGCTGGGTTTGGTAGAGATGTTATTGACTATTTGAAAGGCCACATTACTGAAAACAGTTCCAACTGTGGTGATGAAGATGTTGATGTTTTATTACATGGTGCCTGTTTAGGTATTGGTTTAGCTGCACTATCATCTGGTAACTTAGAAATTTATGAATCACTAAAGGAAGTCTTATATGGTGATTCTGTAATATCTGGTGAGGCAGCTGCCCTTGGTATGGGTTTGACCATGTTAGGTTCCGGTAATGCTACCGCTTTGCATGATATGTATACATATGCACAAGAAACAAATCATGGTAATATCACACGTGGTTTAGCCATTGGTTTAGCTTTGATTAACTATGGTCGTCAAGAATTAGCTGACGATTTAATTGAAAAGATGTTGTCAAACGATGAGGCACTATTACGTTATGGAGGTGCTTTCACTATTGCATTAGCATACGCTGGTACAGGTAACAATAAAGCTGTTAAAAAATTGTTACATATCGCTGTCTCTGACTCAAATGATGACGTTAGAAGAGCTGCTGTTACCGCCTTAGGTTTTGTGTTATTACGTGACTACACTACTGTTCCAAGAATTGTTGAATTATTAGCTCAATCTCACAATCCACACGTTAGATGTGGTACTGCATTTGCATTGGGTATTGCTTGTGCAGGTAAAGGATTAAAATCAGCAATTGATGTTTTAGAGCCATTGACTAAAGATCCAGTTGATTTTGTTCGCCAAGCAGCAATGATTGCTCTAGCATTAATAATGATACAGCAAACAGATAAATTGAATCCAAAGGTCACTGAAATAAATGAATTGTTTTTGAATGTTATTAAGAATAAGCACCAGGAAGGATTAGCCAAATTTGGCGCTTGTATTGCTCAAGGTATTATGAATGCCGGTGGTAGAAATGTGACAATTCAATTAGAAAATGCTGAAACAGGTACTCTTGATGCCAAGTCAGTTGTTGGTTTAGCTATGTTTTCACAATTTTGGTACTGGTTCCCACTATCTCATTTCTTAACTTTGTCATTTACCCCAACCACCGTTGTTGGTGTGCGTGGTTCTGACTTCAATATTCCAAAATTTGACTTAAATTGCCATGCTAAGCAAGACCTATTTAGTTATCCAAAAATGTATGAAGAAGCAATGGACAAGGAGGTAGAAAAGATCGCAACTGCAGTCTTATCTACTACAGCAAGAGCAAAGGCAAGAGCTAAGAAAACAAAGAAAGACAAAGAAGGTGAAGAAGAAACTAAGTCTGTTAAAACCGAGGAAACTCAAGAGACTCAAGAAGCTGAAGAGAAGAAGGTAGATATAGAAGATAAAGAAAAGGATTCCTCAAAGAATAAATATTCCAACAAACCATATAAAGTGGGGAACATGACTCGTATAATGCCACAACAAGCAAGATATATTTCTTTCAATAAAGACAACCGTTTTGCTCCTGTTCATAAATATAAGGGTGGTACAGGCGTAATTATTCTTAATGATAAGACTCCAAATGAACCTATTAAGATAATAGAAACTGTAAGACAAAGTAAGGACGTAAATGCTCCATTACCAACTCCGTTTAAAGTTGAGGACGAAATCGATTTCATGAAATTATGTTAATTAATGAATAAATTTCAATTGCATTTTCCATAAATCATCACACTTATATATAAAATGTGTAAGACATATAAAAAATAATAAACAAACTTCGATATCTAATGACGAGTACAGTGCATGTTTTTTTCTTGTAATGTTTTTAATATATTTCTCAATTTTTATATTAAGTGCTATTCTATTTCTAATTTCCTTTTTAACAAATGCCAAATTGAATTTTAAATCATATAAAATACATGACCTATATGTAAGAATTAACTAAATCTATTTAATGCTTGCTCCACCAAATCTTTATGATCCTCGGATATCTCACCATTCTTAACTTGGGTACTTCTTTTACGTAAGTTCTTTTCTTTCTCTAATAATTTCTCTACTCTTAATTTTCTATCGTCTATAATATTTGCAGTTTTCTTCCTCAAGAAACCACGTAAGCCAGAGTTCTTACTTTTAACATCTGGTTTTGCCTTAGGTATATCTGAGTTAGTCTTTGATTTATTTGCTTCTTGTTCTGTTAAAATTGCTAAATCTTTGGAGTTCAATCTAACAGAAGATGAGCGTTTGTCCACTGTACCAATAACATTTGGATCTAAAGTGATAGAGTCTGCTGGTAATTTTGTTAACAAGCCTCTTACTTCTTGTTCTTGTCTTTGTTTGCTGGTTTCGTATGGGTTTGCTTCTAATGCATCATAGTTAGCTTCACCAGAACCTGGGATAATTAAATTAGTTATCCCACTTTGGTGGCCAACTCCTAATAGATCTTCGAATGGTACAAATTTCAGGTTTTCAACTTTGTTACCAGGAAATAAGTGTGACATGTATGGAGTGTTTCTGTGTGGATTACCACCCATAGAACCGAAACAAGGTTTTGCATATTTACTTGTCTTTAAAGCGTCCTTCCATAGAGTGACATGAGGACCACGAGCTACCGCAATTAAACCGGTGTCAGAAATGGAGACATTACTTGCTGGAGTTGGCAAATTTTCTACTGTATGTAATTCTTTGAAATTTCTTATATCCCAAATTTTCATTGATTTATCTCTACTTGTTGTAACCATATAATTACCACCTCTGTGGATAGCTATACTTGTGATTGGACCTCTTGCAGACAGTAATTTAACCAAAGGTTGTGGCATTGAAGGAGACCATAAAGTGACGGTACCATTGCTATGACCTAAATGCATTACTGCATTCCATGGATTCTGGGCCATTGAGGTAGTTGGTCCAAGTTTAGTTCTTAATTCTGAAACCAACTGACCAGTAGAAACATCTTGGTATTTCAACCAACCAGTTTCACCAGCAGTGGCCAATAAATAATGATATGGCAAATATTCTAAATGTCTTGCTTCTATGTGTTGTTTCAAACGGTGTAATTCTACACCTTCATGATCGTAGATAAAAGTATATTTCTTTTGGGCGACAGCGAAGAATTGTTCATTTTGTAAATAAGTTGCACCATAACAAGATTCATTTAAATTTAATTCAGCACGTAGTTCACCTTTTCTCCAATCCATTGATGCGATATGACCTTTACGACCAGAGATTAATAAATGTGTACCATTTTTTGAGTAATCTATGGAATAAGGACCGAATTCTTTCAACGATAGATCTAGAGCTTTGTTAGCGGTAGTTACGTCGACACTTGATTTAATTTCAGATTGGTTGACTTTAAAAGTCTTTTCCATTTCATCTTCTGCCTCTAAATAACCAGAAGATTCAGGTAATAAATATTCTGTAGCGGCAGCCGATGAGACTGATTCTTTGTATTGATCATCGATTCTTTTCAACCCCGCACGTAATTTTTTATCTTTTGTTCTACGGTTATCTTTTGAGATATAATTACCAGACCTTTCATAATTAGTTTGGTTTTCCCTTACCTTAAAGTTTTTCTTTCCTTTGGAATTAGCTCCAGCCATCTTTGATTATATATAATATTTATAATATATGAAGCTAGAGATACACTGATGTGGTTGCTATACTCTAATAGTAACAAAAAAGAAAGCAACTTAAATATCATGTAACTTATATTATCAAGTTTAATTTCATTTACTAGTCAACTGTATTGAATACAATATTTCAGCTCATCTCATCTCATCTCATCTCATCGAAAATTTTCCAAAAGGTGAAAAATATCAAGAAAATCACGTGATCTAATAATGGTTGTTTAATTTTGTTTCTGTAAGAGAGGGCCATTAATTGTATGTATTGATTACCTTGGGTTGAGTGGCAGCTATACAATATTAAGAATAGAATAAAATAAAAAATACTACAAGAAATGAAGTAAACTGAAGTGAATGTGGATGATTGCTATTGTCTAAAATACTATGAAGATAGGGAATTCATATGTTGTAATATCCAACCTGGGATGGCAGGGGATTGCCTCTACAAAAATACCCACATATTAAATCCCAGTAGAGAGAAAAACCCCCACCAACCCGCGGGCATTTTTTGGATGCCAATTCACTCTAGGTCACATGCTATTCATGTGATTTTCGAAGCCCTAAGTATAATAATGTACGAGGTGAGAGTTTGTAGATATATGTATTTCCCGTTTTTAACCTGCTTGATACATCAAGATCAAATAAGTTGCGATGACTTCTAAACTGTTTAAGATGAATCTTAATAAATGAACGTTGGGATACACACACATATAAACAGACTATAGCAAAGCAAAATAGACAACAATTGTAATATCTGAACTGTCATGCCAAATGGAGAAACAACTGGAAATATAATTGATATTGGTACTGAGATCGAGAATATAATTAGAAATTCAATTGAAACCGATGTTGATGGTGAATCGAAAATAAATAAAAGGCAGAAAACAACATCTTCTCCAAAACGGAATTTATTCATCAATAATTTGAATATTAGTAATAGCATTGATAATTCTGTAAAGAATAACGTAACCAATAATTCAAAATTAACTCTGAAATATAATAAAGATACTGATGTTGAATCTTTGAGAATGATAACGTCTTCCAGGAAAAATGCTAATAAGTATAAGAGAATGTATACAATTCAATCTGATAACGAGCTTATCCGAAATTGTCAATCTTGGAGTGATGAAGAAGTATGCAATAAAGACATTTTAAGTCGAAGAGGTGCTGAACGTTGCGAAGATCACATCAAGGATGAACATCCTAAGGAATACTTTTTAGAAAATATTATGGATTGTTTAAATCCAAATCACGCCCCAGTTAGAAAACTTCTCGCTAAAAAGAAGGCCACTCCTAACGTTGTAGATATGATTAGAACGGTTAAAGAAACTAACAATAAAAAAAGAACACAATTTGAAGATTATGCTCTAACTTTTGCCCACCTGGGAATTTCTTTTTCAATCTGGGATAATAAGGTTTTCCGTAAGACACATAGTAAATTTAACCAAGGCTTTTCACGTAAACATCACAGAAGAAAGGCTTCAGCTTTTGTGAAGATGATTTCAAAAAGAGTTGTACATTTTTTTCAATTGAAACTTAGTGAGGACCATAATTTTAAGTCTAAAACAATATTAAATTATCCTCTGGATTCTACAAATTTAAAAAGTGTCATCTTAAAAAGATTTTCAGATTTGAAGTACTCAAAACCTCCATATGTTAGCATGGAGACAGATGATTGGAAGTCCAATACAAAACTCTCGTATAATGTAGTAATTCTCAATTTTACTACTGGACATTACAACAAAGGAACTTTTTTGGCAATGTATGATAAGATTGAATCAAAAACAAAGGAAAATCACAAAATAATACTACTCTCTACATGTAAAAAATACAAAGCGAATAGATTATGGACTAATACTTGCACAGATAATGCTTCTTCGATATTACATTGTACCACTGCTCTAATTGGGAATCCTAAGTATCCAATTTATGCGGGACATATTGGGTGTTTATGCCATATAATCAATCTTGTTTCCGAGCTATTCATAAAGTGTATATCACCAGAGAGAGAAGTTAATAAAGAATATGATCCTACTTCTGATGATAATTTTAGTGAAGGATATGATTCTGTTGTAGAATTCGGTTCCAGTGAAGAATATATTTCCAGTGAAGAAGATAGTTCCAGTGAAGAAGATAGTTCCAGTGAAGAAGAAGACTCCAGTAAAGAAGAAGACCCCGATGAAGAAGATGATTCTAGTGCGGATAATGACTTCAGAGGTGACAATTCTGGGGATAGTGATTTGAAAAATTGTTCTAGAATAGATATATCTGAGCTGGTATCTAACCCTTTTGAAGGTAAACCACCACTCGTTATTGAAAGGCTAAATAATTTTAATGTTGAGTTAAGGAAATCAGAGGAAAAAATGTCGATATATGAAAAATATGTAAAAAAACGGATTCCGTCTTTCATTTCTATAAGATGGAATATAAAATACGAAATGCTGAAAACATTTGTTAACCATTATGAAGATATCTCTGCATTTTTTGAATTTTGCAGAAATCAAGGGAAACCAATTCAAAATGAATTGAACAGGAAAGATTTTGAAATGGCTGAATTGTTACTCGATATATTGTCGCCTTTTGATAGTTTAACTAAGTTTATGTCATCGAACAAAAGTCTGTCACCTGTTTACATTCGGATACTGGTTTTTCTAAGGAAAACTATAAAAGAATCGAATGCTAAACTTAAGGAAATGGGAGACACAATATCCGATTTCTCACCAGCAATCTCTTTGGTGGACAAATACCTAAAACAAGCAAAATATAACTTTCCTCTGATATATGCGTGTTCATTATTTTGTCCATTTGAAGATGATGTCTTCCATTATTATAGCAGCCATTACAATGAAGAGTTAAATCCAATTAATGAATTCACTGAAATTGCAATTCAATTAGGCATGTTTGATTTTGAGGAATCTGCGTCTCCAGAAGAAATTCCTAAGTATGAGTTTATGTTGAAAGATGGACCATATGTAAAATCAAAGGAAGAGATATCTGCGTGGCATCGAAAATACATAAAAGGTAAAATACAAGAGGAATTAAGTGGATATTTAAATTTTGTTAATAAGAGGTATTTTGAGGTTTTAAAAAGCGTGTGTAGACGGAAGAAAGTTGAAGTTGAAAAGGTGGAAGATAGTTATCATTACAAAAAGATCATTGGGAAAAAAGGAGCCATGAAGTCTAGAAAGTTATCTAAATGTGAAATTTATATAATTAAGCTAATGACTTACTTGGAATTGCAGGAAACTTATCGAGTTGAAACAAGCAGGAACGGAAATGAACTAGGGAATCACATATATATACCTGTGGTAATGGATTATCTAATGTCTTTTACTGTGACGTCAGTTAATAGTGAGAGATCATTTTCCAAATTCAAGATGACATATAATGACAAAAGACATAGACTAAACGATGACACAATGTTTTCCCTAGTAAATTTAAACTTTATAGAAAATTCAAAGCTAAATTTGGACATATACAAAGACTTTGAAACTACACCGTTGGATGAAGTTTGCATTACTTTAAATAGGTCCAGTAAATAGTTAAACTAACCAAGACTATATAAATCTAAATCTAACTAGATGCTGTCGTCCAGAACATTAATGCTAAGCCCTAAGAAAACCTAATTCGGTACCCTCATCAGTGGTCTCATCAAAATGTTACCCGGCACCTTCTTGAAAAATTTCACCTTCCTGATTAGGAAAAATCGATTTTTTGCCGAATTCGTCAACTTTCTGGGCATTTAATCCCCTGCCATGTCTAGTTTCAAGTATTCGGATAAATATTATTGAAAATGTATTATATATACATTCTAATGGGGAGGGGGGTTGATGATATGAAACAAATTGATATAAGATAAAATACAGTTTGGGTAAAGGCAAACTGGAAAAGACACAAGAATATCATCGGTTTTGAGTAAGTGGTTACGTATATTATCTAGAAATATAAACGCATGCGAACACACAAAGAGAGAGAGAGAGAGAGAGAGAGATCTTGTCAATTCATTAGAGTTATAGAGATATAATGAAAATACGACGACTACAGGAAGTAAGATATCCTTTAATTGTAAAGACTGAGGCATAGTATAAAATATGAAAAAAAGAAATGAATAAGGTTTACGACGACTAACATTGATCATTTGGGATGGGTAGGATAACGATGATTTAGAAAGATCTGAAAAATACGCAATATCGTATCCATTTTCGTATATCTGTCGTTTAATAACTTTTGTCGGTCGAACGTACATAATCTTCAAACATTCTCTCTGATAAAGCAAGCTGGTGTTGTGATCCCAATAGCTTTGTTCTTCTACTTTGATTTCAAGACACTGATGGAAACATACATACATACATACGTGCATATCCTCTCACTTGGTACGTAGCTTTACCAAATTCAGTGGAAACCAGCAGCTGTCAGAGAAAAATATATGCAATGGGTTTGTTTCTCCTGTCATGCGAGAGAATAATGACAAAAAAAGACAAAATGGTCTCAGCGGCAAAAAATAAAACAAGACCAACAACGACAAGTTTTCTTTTCAGACTGTGATTGATTGACTGATGGATTGATCAAAATTCTTTTCTCTTTCTTTTTATCACTCACAAAAAAGAAACAAACAAACACCTTCTTCCAGACACACAATAGCGGACGGGACAGCTCTTTTGTGTGTGTTTTTCCCGCAGAGACAAATCTGACTCGTATTTTCGGTTTGCTATCAACTGCATAGCGTACGCTATTGTCTTCTTCAAAGCGGTAGTTAAAATGGGTCCATGGTTGTCTTTGCAGGAAATTACACAAATTACAAAAATTACAAAAATTACAAAAAAGATATTAGCTGCCACAAAATTTTTTAACCAACCACCTAACTAAAACAAACGGAAAAGAAAAGATATCACTCTTTCCATCTTCCTCCTACCCAACTTATTCTCACTTAGACTATTTTTTTCTTCTAGAGATGAAATATTCCAATTCCAATTCGAACTCGAAATCGAACTCGAACTCAAATTGAAACTTGTTAAAATCATAAAACCATAAAAATGACTATCTCTCTGTACGTCCGGTTGTCTTGTTCGCTAACTTCTTTCTATTACTATTATAAATTCGACTGTATCAAGTATGGATGGCTCTTTTGCTTCGAACTTTAATTATATCATGAATATACTCAACTTGACTATACTTTCAGAATATTGTTTTCAGCGTTCAGCGTTAAACAGACAGACAACTTCCAATCTATGGCTTTTGATTGATATCAATGTAGTATACTGAATCCTACTCTTTCTTCTTAATATTTTTCTTAATGAATTAATTAATTAGCTAATTAATTTAAAATCATGTTGCGATGCCCTCGTTTAGATAACTCAATTGGTTTCGTCCTGTTCTATATAGTATAGCAATCAATGCTAAGTGATATCTTCCAGTTTCATTTGCTATGTTTTTTTTATGTCAATGAGATCAGATTAATTCTAACGATTAAATCAAGTACTTTTGTTTCTTTTTACTTTTTTTTCCCTCTCTTATGTAACTAACCGCAATGAATGATGATTTCTTCAAATCATGTCTTATATAAATAGATGCCAGATGTATAGTTTCTGAAATTGTGTTTTTTACCAAGTAGATTCGTTATTAACTTATTACATAGGTCAGAAAGTTGTATATTCTCTTCGTTTTCTACATCTGCATTCTATCCCCATTTTATACCATTATGTTTTACTACTAAATTTCTTGTTTAAATAGCTAAATAGAACAACAGACCCAACTACAAAAGTTTAGTTTGCAAAATTTTCTAGAGAAAGAAAATATAATTGTTTGATCTTTAGTTGGTGTGTGTGTGCATATATATCATTGTCTCATCACTAATTATCATCTTTATAGATATAATTGTGTTTTCTATTACTTCTATTTGATCACTCTTCGAGTCATTTGTCTCTCTAAAGTGACTGATATCTTTTTTTTTTGCAATTTTGTTACAAAAGTGAAGAAATTGAATAGAATATTTCTCTCTCAGCTTTAATTAAAACTTTCTATTAATTCATTAGCTGCTATTTTTTAACATATTTTTTGCTTACCATAACAAATAAAAGTACTCAATTGAATAAAGATGTTTGCAAGAAACAGTTTAAACATCCTATCAAGAAGAGCTTTCTCCTCTAAAAATGCTGCTCAACGCACAGTTTTGAAGTCAAGCTTCATCTCTATTAAACCTTTCTACTTAGCATTGGGTTTAGTAGGTGCAAGTGCTGGTTACTTATATGTTATGAACTCCAGATCAGCAATCCATGAATACGTCATTTGTCCAGTTATTAGATTCATCACTCCAGATCCAGAAAACGGTCACACCATTGGTATGTTCTGTTTGAAATGGGGTTTGGCTCCAAAATTATTCTTTGATAAAGATCCTGAATCCTTACATGTTAACGTATTTGGTAAAACTTTGACTAACCCATTGGGTTGTGCTGCTGGTTTAGATAAAAATGCAGTTGCCATCGATGGTATCATGCCAGCTGGTTTCTCCTATTTAGAAGTTGGTACTGTTACTCCATTGCCACAACCAGGTAACCCAAGACAAAGAATGTTCAGATTGCCTGATGATGATGCAGTTATTAACAGATTTGGTTTCAATTCCGAAGGTCATGAAGCTGTCGCTAAGAACTTGACCAAACGTATCAAAAGTCACTTGAACTCTTACTTTAATGATAAACATTTTGAAACCCTATCTTTGTACAAGAATAAAATGTTGGCTGTTAACATTGGTAAAAATAAGACCGGTGACGAAGTTCAAGATTATATTAAAGGTGTTGAAAAATTCCAATCTTTAGCTGATGTCTTGGTTATTAATGTCTCTTCTCCTAACACCCCAGGTTTACGTGATTTACAAGAAGAATCTAAATTAACCAATCTATTGACTCAAGTTGTTGCCAAGAGAGATTCTTTAGTTAACAGAGGTGACGCCTTAGGTGAAAAGACTCACAGACCACCAATTTTAGTTAAGATTGCTCCAGATTTAACTGAACCTGAATTCCAATCAATTGTTGAATCCGCTAAAGCCTCTAAAATTGACGGTATCATCGTTTCTAACACCACAATTCAAAGACCAGACAGTTTAAAGACAAAGGATAAGACATTAGTAAATCAAACTGGTGGTTTATCTGGTAGACCATTAAAGCCATTTGCTCTCAGAGCCTTGAAAACTGTTGCCAAGTATTCCAAGGATTCTGACTTAGTTCTAGTCGGCTGTGGTGGTATTTACACCGGTAAAGATGCAATTGAATTTGCTAAAGCCGGTGCTACTTTTGTTCAAATTTACACCTCTTACGGTTACTCTGGTCCAACTATTGTTGCAAGAATCAAAGACGAAATCGCCGATGAATTGAAGAAAGAAGGTAAAACTTGGATGGAAATTATCGGTGAAGATAACAAATAATTTGACTTGGCTCAAATAAACCCATAATCCATTTTGAAAACATATTCCAGATTGATGATACATTAAAATCAATAAAAATAACAAAAGTTAAAATGAAATCAATTAAATAACACCAACTTTAATAAGTAGTTTCATTAAATTTAAGATTAAAATTATATATATAAAAATTCGTATCAAACATTTACATCACATTTCACTACTTTATAAAATATAATAAATTATTAAAGCATTCATATTGTAAAACCAACCCATTATTCGCCAATTCACTTTTATTTGTTTTCTGGACCTCTTATAACTTAACAAATATATATTGTCTTTTACAATTTATATTTATCATTAAGACATTCTTCACTTAACATAACTACTTTACCCACCAAATTATATTACGTCAATTCCCAATAAAAACATCAGAATTCCAACTCAATACTTAGGAAGTGTGTCATCAGCTTCAAATAGAGATTAGGTCATCCTATCCTGTTTTCCATTCTCGTTGTAACCTAAAATATGCTCTCGAATCAAATTTAAAGGTTTAGTTTGGTTTGGTTTGGGATGGTAATGACATTTTAATTAATTTTTCACAGAAACAACCGCACAACCCATGAAGAATTTTAAGGAACTCACGTAAATATACTGAAAATGGATTGGTTTCCTGGTAGCATTAAACCTCTCAATATCAAATTCCAAAAAAAAAAGGCTGTTTAGCAACCTTTAATAGCTCTGGGAATTATTTATATATATATATATATATAAGGTGATGATGAAGGATGATTATAATACATTGACCTGATATGTATACTAGTTTGGAACTGGTTGATTTGATTTTACGACTGTTGTGTGTTTTTTATTTGATATTTGATAGTTCGACTAATATACATATTGAATATATAAGGAAAGTAATTTTAGTCTCCTCATCGGTAATAAGGAAAGCATAATGTCTGATTCAAAGAATTTAGGTAATGATCAATCTAAAGATTTAGACAAGGTGATTGAATCACCTTGGTTCAATGATATTTACAATTCTGCAGTTAAATTTTATGAAAGGGATAATGTGCTGGATTCAAGTGATAGGTTAGAGTTATTCAAAATTTATCAAAATATAAGTAGAGCAGAATTATGGGGGGGTTGGTTAGGTTTTGGTGCTGTGTTTGGGGCTCCTTTTGCCTATAAGTATTATCATACAAATTCAATAAAAGGAGTTAAAGTACCGCGTAATTTTATGATTGGTTTATTGGCATTGTTTATTAGTACACCTTTGGCAGGAAACTATGCCTATAATAGAAATGTTAATCGATTAGATCCAGATGGTCTATTTGCAAACTCAAATAAATACGGTGATAGTGAGCTATCGAGCTTTACACAAGATAACGTTGCCCCATCTGGTGAAGGTCAGATTCAAATGCAAAAGTCTCCAAGACAAAGACAGTATGATATGTTGACTTTGTTGAAAAATAGCAAGCCAACTATGTGGGCAGCTTATTTTTATATGACACATACGGACCCAAAGAGGCGTTTCCCTAATCCAAAGGAGAAGTTGGAAGAGATGAAGAGATCAGGGAAGCCTCTCCAAAGACAATCATTTTTAAATCAAAGAGACCCAATGGACTTATACACAAGCTCGCAAGAGAAGGCAGCCAGAAATCAAAGCGTAATTGAATCCAATGGCAACGATGTGGGTAAAGTCCTCACATCTACATCACTAGAACAATCTTCATCTTCACCTTCAACAGGTTCATCATGGGACAACGTCAGATCAACTGAAACCTTGAATGGCTCATCGTGGGCGAAAGTTAGAGCTAATCAATCAAACCCAAGGGAGGTAGAGTCAAACAAAGAGGATGATGGGTTAGCTATATTTAATGTTGATAAAGTAAGTCAACAAGATTTTGACAGTATTCTTGAGGCTGAGAGAAATTCAAAAGAATGAAATGCCATTTTTTTTTTTCAATATAGCCCTGTCTAGTAACATCAATACAAACCAACTAAACAAAAAAACATTCATTTTTAAGTAACTATATTCCTAGCAATTAATTAAATTTTTAAGATAACCAAGACATACCTATATGTACATATTTCTTCGATAGCATTCTATTTTTTAGACTTATTCAAGAAGATGTCCAACTATCTAACTTATGTTATTTACATATTGCAACCAATACAGTAATCTATCACAAAATTATTCATTTTAAAATGCCATATGACCAAATTAACATTATTATCAGCAATATAATTCATCGAATACATATAAACATGTACCTTAGAAGGCTGTTTTAAATCAAAGTTCAGCCATACTGTCATCTTTTATACCTTACATCAAACCCTGCCTTATTTTCCTTATTGTAATCTCCGAATATAAAAAATCGATGGTATAAAAATTACGCCAAGGAAATTTTAAGATTCGAACACTTATTTAAAAGTTTTAACCACATATTACATATATATAATAAGGAAAGGAAGACATTAAGAACTTTGAATTGCTATTTTTTTAATCATATTATCGATTAATTTGGTTCAGGAGATTGTATTTGTAATTTTGGTTTTTATTTGGTTTGATTTCTATAAGGGTTAGGTTCGAAACAGATATACACGTATATATATATATTGAAGATTCTATTTGATTTGGTTTTAAGAAGAAGGGAATTATGACTGTAATTTTGACTCCCACTGAAGAGCATTATCTTAAAAGAGAGCTTCTGAAACATCAGTTATGGAAGGAGTTTTCTGATCTTAATGATAAGTATGCTTTACGAAGATTTGGGTACCCTTTTACTTCAAATGATCCATTATCTTCTGATCCAAAATCACCTACTTCAAAAGTTATTAAAAGGGTAATCAAATCACCAACTTCAAAAATATCTGGATTAATGGATAGTAATAACAATAATAAAACACCAACTGAAATTGTTAGAGTAGATTTTAATGATACCGATTTCCCTATGATGAGTTTTGTATTACATAAATTTGTAATGAGTTTCCCATTATTATCAAGGGATTTGGCCAATGATCCATCTTTTTGGCAACGTAAAGTTCAAGTATTCTTCGAACATTTTATGTCTATGGAGTTTAGTGATAGTTTTGATAGAGATGAAGCTACTAAAAGAAGAAAAATCGCAAGAAAATTAAGTAAAGTCATCTTATTATTATTTAATTCTGGTATTGGTAGTGGGTTAGAAGTGCAATATTATACTGAAGACAAATTTAAATTCCAAGATGAAGGTGCAAGAGAAAGATCTAAAATTGAAGAATTCGCAATCCCTACAAAACAAAAGTTGAGAGATTTGGTTACAAATGAACCTGTTTATATTAATAATTGGGATTTAAATGTAATATCAGTAGTGGAAAAAACACATCTTCCGCAAAATTATTTAAAACTGATCTCAAATTTAAGTCCTCGCCATAAGGCTTATGATAATAATTCAGATGATGACAAGACGATCGGAGATAATGATTCAGAGACTACTTCAAAACATAAGTCATCATGGATGAAATCAGCACTTGGTATAGCATCTGCTCCAACAGCCTTGTTTTCAAAACTATCAATGTCTGAAAACAAAAAATCAGTAGTAAAACCGAAGCATAAATATCATTTCATAATAAAAGCTAGAATCCAATCAGAAACTAATCCAAGTAGAAGTAACACTATTTATTGTGCAAAAACGTATGACGATTTTAAAAAACTAGCTCATGATTTAAAAGCTGAATACCCTGGTAAGGATATTCCAAAACTACCCCATAAGAATAAGAAGTCAATTAGCATTACAACAACCGCTACTTATCCAGTAATTGATGAAGGTTTGAGGACGCCAAAAGAGAAGATTATATCGACCTTTCAAATAGATGATGAAGATATTCCAAGTATATCATCTCAATTAGGCAATGATTCACTACCAAATGATAATGGAGGTTCAAAGCGTAATGGCATGTCTTATCATTTTGGTAACAATGAAGATATAGATGATTATGACGAAAATTTGGTCGAAGATGAAGAAGACGATGAAGGAGATTCTGAAGAATTCCATGACACTGTGGATACAAAAAATAGCGTTCTACCTAGAGAAAGACTAAGAACATCACTAAGACAATATATCAGGAGTCTCTCTCTCGATGAAGAAATTTCTAAATGTTCTTATTTCACTAATTTCTTCCATAGTAATTTGATCCAAGAAAGCACATTCAATTGTTTTGTTTTGGACGATATTAAAAATAGAGAATTGGTCGATGTTAATAATTTGGAGAATCAATTGAATTTCCAAAAAATCGCATTAGATAAATCTATTAAACTTCAAGATTCTATGACAACTTTTAAGGAATCATTTTTGAAAGATAAGAGTTTCTTAATTAATTTAATGAGAGAAATAAAGGAAAAAACCAAAGTTGAAGAATTATCTCCGTTACTAAGAGATTTTGTTGAATGGTGTAAGATATACCTATCATCTACAATCTATCAATTATTCTTGGGTAACGATAATAGTTATGAATTCTATACCCAAGTGAAAAGGTTACATAGACTAATGCCCTATACCGTTATGAGTCAAATTATGAGATTTACTAATCCAATGGCTATTATGAAAGGTATGATCGAGTTGTTTATGGCACAACCATTTGGAGGAAACTCTCTATTACAAACAATGTTTTCTTCTGTTTTAACAGACGATCTAAAAAGTCAAGATGCTGTTATAAAAGCATTGGAAACCAAATTAGTTGGATCTTGGCCCCAATCTAGAAATGCTATTGGTTGTTTAAAGAGTACAGTATTTGAAAATGAGTCTGGTAAATTTTTAAAAATGGACGAAATACATAAGGAAACAGAATCGACGGGCTTCCCGATGATACTTGTCATTTTAATAAAGTGTTCAGAAGCTCGATTATTATCAGCAAATGAATTAAACGAAATTATGGAGTCATATCTAAATTGGAAAAACCATAACGAGAGTGAGGATAGCAATGATACACAACTTAATAAAGGTGTATATTTTTCGCAACTTAAGGAATTATTCCAATTATACTTGAAAGAGAATGACAAAAAGTTAATGAGAAAATTATGGCAGGATCCACAATTAACTCAATTGCTGAAAAGCATTTTTACAATGATCTATGAACCTATGGTAAAGATATTTAAGGTAGCCAGAGTTGATATTGCCCTAAAAAATTTTGAAAAGTTTATGAATGATTTAATCAAGTTGATGGATAATGTTATTAATGGGCAACTTGGTGCTTCAACAGAATTCAATGTTGTTGAAGCTATAAATAATTTAGTTACTAGCCATCAAAACTCATTTTTGGAGTTTGTACATGATGTCTACAATAACGATTCAGAAGGTATATTTGAAGGTTTTGTAACTTGGGTATTAGATATCATAGATTTCTTACAAAATAGTAAATTTGGTGAAGATGCAACAAGGATTAATTTTACTACGATGTTAGAAGAAAGTTCTACCAATGGCGAACTTGTTCTCAAAGAAATTGATAATGTTATTGATCAAAAAATTACAGGACGTAAATTATATCAACAGCTGTTGCAACTAAAAATTGATGAAAGTGAAAAAAACAAAACAAAATCTAGTTTAATTGATAAGAATTGGGAGCATATTAGTTCTGTATTCTTAGAAAACAGTAATATTTCGTTTGGTATTAATGAAGGTGAACTATTAGATCTAGATCTAGATACAAAAGACTATGATTATCTACACAAAGATGGGGAAGAGTCATTAGAAAGAAAGTATCAAGAAATCCTTAATAGAGGTATTGAAACAACTGAAATTGAAAACCTTGCAGATCAAGAATTTGAAAAGGCATTGAAATGTTATTTGAATAAAGTTGGATATAAATAATCGTTGCATAATGATATAGTTAAAGTTGAGAATTATTAATTCAGTTCCAACAAAATTGTTTAGTTTTTAAAAATATACAATATATTTTTTAAAGATATTGTTAAGTAATTGGTTAAGTATTTTATCACTCAATTATATAGATAATACTTGTCTTGAACCTACTTAATTCAAATATTAGGTTGATTAGATGAGGATAGCCATTCTGTCATTAAAAAATTAGAGCATAATTTACGATGGAAGGTTTTATCGCATATCATCTATCCGATCGACTAATGAGAAATATCCAACAACAACCCTTTAAGATGACGCAACATATATAATTGAAATTACATAATCTGACATAAATCAATCAAAAGTAGACATGAAATGGTTGCAGATATTTCTGGATTTTTAATGATAATCACATTAAATTTGGTAAGGATTACATGTATTTGAGAAAGTGTTTTTAAACCTTGAGGTCTATTAAAACATCCAAGAGAGCAATAGTTTGATTTAAGTTAATTTGGGTTAAGTTCATTCAACTAAGTTAACTGATTATATTTGAAAGTACACGGTCAAAGTTAAAATAAATTTTGAATATAATATATATGTTTCCAGCATTGAAAGCAAATAATATACTAGTAATATCTAGTGCAGTAGTGTTACTTTCAGTGACAAGCTATGCCATATATTTTGATTATCAAAGAAGGAATGATCCTGTATTTAGAAAAAGGATAAAGAAGAAGAACCAACATCGATTAAAAGGACAGCAGTTAGAGAAGGAAACTACGAAACAAGAAAAGTTACAAGAGGTTAGTGACTTCTTAACTAAAGAACTTGTATCTGATCCATTAATCAATGATGCAGATGCTATGGAATCGGTTTTTACAACTAATATAGAGTTGGCTGAAACCTTATCAAAAATATCAGGGAAAGAATTAGAGTCAGCAGCAAAATTCTATAAAGCATTGAGTGCATATCCTAATCCTGCTGATTTATTAGAAGTGTATCAAAGGAGTGTCCCAGAGGCAATTTACGAAAAATTAGTTATGATGATTGCAGTTAAACCACCAACAAATGTGGTGGCATTTCTAGCAAACTCAAGGTTCAATCCCAATATAAATAATACAATTTCAGGAAATTTGCCAAAGTACTTTTCAGTTAATTAATTGATGAAAAATATCTATTGTTCAAGGGGTAAACTCTTGGCAAAGGAAATTTCAGGTTCTTAATACTAGTCTAACAAAGCTATGTAATTAAACGTTAATATTCGAGATTTGGGGTAAACGATAATGGCATACCCATAATATAATATTTTGGTTTTTTGTAAATAATTAACTTAATAATGATTAAATCAAATGTCTATATTTGGTTAAAAACAACTGTATTTAAAAGTAATAAATAAATATTCATTAACGTAAACTTTATTAGAAAACTTTACATTTTACATAAAATAGAATTATACCACATGACAGTCAGAGTTGAGGCACTGAATGGTCTAAAACATGTCATAAAATAGAAAGGAATAAATAAGAGAGGTATATATGTAGCATTTTCAAATCAAAAAATGTCAAACCTGTTTTTTTTCTCATATTGGTGTCATTAATTAAAAATGTGTGACACTGCTTTTACTTGTAATGGTAGATTTTAGACTGTATAATGCTTAATTAGTAAGTAACCGTAATAACCTAAACTTGCAATGTTTGCTAAATTGACAGCCATACTAATTAAATGAACCTTGTCGAATTTCTTTACGATAGCTGTTTCCTTTTGTTGGAAAGATTGATCATTTTCATTCTTTTCAACTTCAATTCTTTGTTCTCTATCTTTATTTAAAATAGGCAATAGACAACCTAAGTTTAATAGGCCTGTAGTAGCAATGACACCAAGTACAGCTTTAGGAATACAAGTTAAAGCTAATGGGGTGGTTGCAGCTAGTAGGAATGGTGTTAAAGTTTGCAAAGCAAAAAATTTTGGGAATAGTTT